AAAAAAAAAATCTAGATAATTTTCAGAACTAAACTGCTAAAATATTATTCCTAATTATTTATGAGAAATCTCATTAAAAAAACAGAATCTCAATAGACCACAGCAATTTTTTTTGACGATATTTGTTTTCCTCTCTCCTCCGTATGTTCACAACAACTTCACTTTTCTTTTTCACCATTATCGCACAGTTCAGCAGAAGAAAAAAACTTCATTCAAATCAAAATAATCTGAAATAAAAAAAAATTTTTTTTCTCAGCTATCGAAAAAAAGCCTGATTTACTAGTCAAAAACAGCGTAAGAAATTAAGGCTGAGAAAAATACAACAACAAAAAGTAGTTATGCTTCTCAACCTAGAAAAAAAGTATATTAACATAAGCTTCCGTTAAAGATTATGGAAATCCCATGTTTACTTCAGAAAAAATCTTTAGTCCTCGGTCTAATCGTCCAACCAACACAATTATTTAAGCATTTGAGCACTCGCTAAATGAACAATCCTGGTGTCACAGAAGAAGCCTAAAAACATCCCTACAAAACACAGCATCGCAGAAGAACAAAAATGAATAACATAAACAGCTAAAAGCGATAGCCAACAAAAAGTAGATAAATTTCTAGCCTCAAAATAAAGATAAAGCCTTTAGTAGTCGGTTATCAGAAATTTGTGTTTGTGCCTTTTTTTGCGGGGGTGGGGGGAAGGAGGGGAAGGGGAAAGAGGATGAGAAGATGGGGAAACTGTGGGGAAGGGGGTTGGAAAGTAGTGCCAAAGTAATAAATAACGGCAGACGTCCCCAGTAACCAAATCATTTTCATTCTTCTAATTTGAATCCTCATTCTTTGTTATCTAATATCCAATCATTAAACCATTTTCAACCACCACATCAGTGCCAGCATCACCTCAGATATCCCGGTCAGGAAAAGCCAAAATTTAAGTGGTACTGTTCGTAAGACTGATTTGGTTAATGTAAACAATGAAATCAAGTAATCCCTTAAAGATAACAGTTTATTACCAGAAAACTTTATGCATATTTCAATTGAATTTTCTACAAAAAACAGAACGCTAGCACACCATCATTGAAAAAATTAGTAAAAGGTTAAAAAAGACATATAGCTCCTCACAAAAATAAAAACTGTTAATCCAAATTGAAAGAACAATTAGGAAATAATGGTTTTTTTTGATACAGTAAAATAATAAGCTCTAAGTAGACGACAGCCTATTTGGTAGAAGCACATTGGTAAGTGACAATAACGATGACAAAGATGACGAAAGTGATTTATCAAGATTGCCTGAAAGTGCATAAAATGGTGTAAATATCATTGTAAGGAAACTAAGAAAATGCAATTGCAAAGTGAAAATTGTTGCTTTTCACCGGCTTCACTTCATTCGCATCAGCTATTCTAAAAGAATTATTATATTTCCCTTACTTTACTACTACTATTATCATTAAGTTTCTTAACACTTTGCTCCGTTGTAACTTTTATCCCAATACAAAAACCGTATCGTTGGTTCCAAAATTCCAGACTTTTGTCCTAGTCTATTAAGAACATGAATCCCACCCAACTTATGTCCATCAACTCAGTAATTCAACTGACAAATCACTGTAAGTAGTGCTTGGAAGCCGTTCAATGTCAGAACTGCTAACATCCAGGGACTTAGTAAACGTATGTAACTTTCCTAAGTGGAAGACGAACAAGCTAACCCCCCAAAAGGCCACACAATTATACCTATCATCCAATTATAGCTTTAAGCCGACACAACAGTTTAGTAACCAAAAAAAAGCTGCAGAAGCCAAAGGTGCCAATCGACTTGTTCCGTCCAACAGTAATTCCCGATTTAGAATCTTTGACTGGCGAAGAAGTGGAAAAATGATCCACCGATAAGAGCGTGAAAATTGTTGCTGCCGAAAATGTGCAGTTTATTTTCTCAACCATATCGTTAAAGAAAAAAATAAAGAAGAATTGAACAAACAGATTTCCCTTTTCAATGACAAAAGAAAACTTAAACAAATTAAAAAAACGAGTAAATAAAGAAACTTAATCAATTACTTCACTGTTTTCATTCAAAATGCTAAAGAAGCTTTGCATACCGTTGTTTTTTCAACTAAACCAACTGCTAATTTTTCTTTTTTTTTCTATTAACTTTATAAGTTTCACAGCAATAATTCTTTCTCAAAAAATTACCAACAATCTGAGTAAAATGAAACGACAACCTTTCAGCACATTTGTTATTCAAATACAAATTGTCAC